TAGTCGGCATCGTCAGTTAGTTTTAACATTCTTAGCACTATATTACAACTCGTCAAATAGACAAGTGAAGCCGATCCTTTGACCAAACGTGTGCTAAACATTTATGGTATCTCCCATTCTGTCCAGGCCTATTCACATTTCCTATATATCCAATCACGCCTTCACTGTCACAATATTTTACTTGCTTAATTAAATGTGGTCGGTGCCCTTTTTTTAGCCACCCCATCTGTGCCAACTTGAGGCGTTATTAGCCCTACCTTGCGTCTGGGTGACTAATTCGAGGCTCAAGCCTATGAGTAAGTGTCATAGTCAGGCCTTTGCCACATGGACCACGTATTTTATAAAAAACTACTGTCAGCCCACTAGCTCCAATCGCCGCCGCGTCTATCCTGTTTCTATCTCTAATACCATTTCGAGTGAAAGTGTTGGGTGAAGAGATTTGAAGGTCGGTTCCACCAGAAGACGACGCCTGATTCCTCTTGACCAGCTGTCGATTGGCTTTACTGGAATATTCATGCTGACGCTGTTTCCGAGCTAATCTCCTTCGATTCCAGAGAAAAGGTGCTAAGCTTTCATCCGTCATATGACGAAGATCATCAGAGCAAGATATCATCGTCACAACAAAATTCAAGCTAGCAAGTAAAGAAAACTCACCGGCAAATCCCTAAAAAGTGGTATATACAGTCTACATCTGGGCTCTTTGACAAGTATAAAGTAATTTGAAGGTGTGAAGACCAAGATGGTGTGGCCTTTTATTTGGTCGCAGTCTCCTTTTGTTGTATATAAGTTGTTTAACCTTGTTTTCGCAACTTGGTCATATTGGTAGGAAGACTTAGAGGAACGCACCTAGTTCAGAGTCCATTAAATGTATCATCATTTCCAGAGTATGACCGTGCACGTAGTACATTCCCAGGCGCTTCGCCGACATCGTAGTCGGCATCTTCAGTGAGTCTCGCCATTCGTAGTACCATATTACAACTCGTCAAAAGAGACAAGTGAAGACCATCCTTTGACCAAACCTGTGCTAAACAGTTATGATATCTCCCATTCTGCCCGGGCCTATTCACATTTCCTATATCCTCCTATCATGCCTTCCCTGTCACAATTTTTACCGTGCTTATTTTAAATGTAGTAAACCATTCACACTCCACACTGTCGTTATCACCCCCTTCACCCTTGTGCTGGAAATGTTGACCAGTCTGTCATATTGTTACGTAGTCCTTCCCTGGGTCTTATCAAAGTCTTTCTTTTGCCACGTAGAATCCGTCTGCTATCTCCCTGTTACATGTATTTCATATGTGAGTAGGGTTTCAAGACTACCAGTAAATCAGTGTAATGAGATGTG